ACGGGAAATTCCTGCTTCTGACTTTTGTAGTAGTAATAATCGTTGTGTAATAGTTATTTACATTACAAGTGCGTTTATGAACATGATTACAATAACGAGAGTGAAAGATTAGAACGACGAAATTACCAAAAAGCAACAAACTTAAATAAAACCAAGAGAATAATTTTGCCTACATAATTTTTTCTTGAGTGGTATTTGGCTGGACTATTTCACGAGAAAAACAAGTCAAATTTTCATTTGGAAAATTTATTTTCTTTAGGTGACACTTGTCAAACTTAATAGTTTTTTACTCTAACCACACAAAATTTTGTTGCTGAAAAACCATCATGTTGGTTTTGTCCAGGTAGGGGTTTTGTCAGTAGGAAACCGGCCATTCCTATGAATCCTATGACATTTTACCAGTGTAAAACACTCTATTAAAATCATTGAGGTAGAATAATAAGGAGACGCTGTCATTTGAATAGTGCAATAGAAAACGGCATCGGTAGGCGTGGCTAAGTGTCGGAACAATATGGCTACTTAAACAGAGCCAAACTAAATGGATTTATCATAATTTTTATCTAAAAACGTAGAAAATTCGAGATTACACTAAAAAAGAAAAAGTTTCTAGAGTTACTTTAACTTTCTGAAACAGGAGATCCTTTCAAGACCCAAAATAGGAATTCTGAGCTTCAAAAATTTTTTGCATTTAAAAAATCTTCGGATGGAAAATGCAGCCCTGATGCAATTCTGACGAATGCTATGACAAAGGTGACAGAATCTCAGACACAAGTGTCGTAACAATATGGCGGAAGTGGATACGCTTTTTTCTCCTCATGTCGCCTCCTTATTATTCTACCTCAATGAGTAAAATAGACAGTGTAAAATACTCTAAAGTTTGTTTTACATAATAGGCAATTTTCAGCCTAGAATGATTATCATTTGGTTTTAACCAATGCATTTCCGCTGCCGCGGTTTTTTCCAAAGTAGGGGAAGTTGTGACGTCACAGATCAGCTGATTTGCTTCTGGTATTTACTTACCACTTATAACCGATTATAACCCAGCTTTGGACTTGGGTTAAACTTTTGGTTACAGCTTTTAGAAATTTTGTTATTATTTTGGGGATTGGTATTCGTGTTTTGTGATTTTGCAGTTGTGTTGTGGCCTGGCACAATGGAAGAAGTATACTCTCACTGCAACTCACCATATGTTTAGAATTTACATCATCCCCAAAGAAAATCTCTTCGAATAACGAGAGATTCCGCTCCATTTTTTGTACCTAAACAAGAAATCGTGAAACAAAAAAACAAATAAGAATAATAAATATAACCCTATACTTACTGCTATAACCAAATCATTTCAGCGATCGGTTTCTTGGGTTATGATTCTTGAATGGTGGGGTCAGTGGGGTGCTATGACGTCACACTTGACTGTCAAAGTTGTCAACCGAAATAATAACCACGATATTTACCGATGAATAATTATTCCACGCTGAAAATCGCCTCAAGTCATTTTGACTTTTATCTTAAAAAAAAAAGACTTTACAGTTTATTTTTTCCCAAAATAGATTTTGACATTGTCAACTTTGAAACATAAACAATGCCGCTAATGCCGCTTATTGGTCGCAAAATGCCATTTGCACGACATGCATTGTAAAACTGATGTCAACCTGCAGGGACACCTCATTTTGCTACCAATCAAGGCCAAACATAAACTTTTCAAAGTTTTCAATGTCAAAATCTATCTTGGGATAAAATATACTGTAGTGAAATGGTCAAGAAAAAATTAAAAGAATATTTGTGATTTGATTTCAATAAAAGAATTAGGTACTTACGTTTTTTTTTGTACCTAGAGTGTTTTTACTTGATATAGGTATAATAATATTCACTGAAAGAAGTCCGAAATAAAATACTTTAAATTAGGAGAAATCCCGCGCAATCCCGCGCAATCCCGAGAAACCCTGAGCAATCACGAGAAATCCTGCGCAGTCACGCGAAATCCTAGGCAAATTTGAGAAATCCCGCGAAATCTTGTACAATTCTGCGAAATCCCGTACAATCATTACGAAATTTTGCGAAATCCCTAATTTTGCGCAATACTGTCACATTTTCACCCTAGTGGTTTACCCCTCGGTTTAAGCATAATTTCAAAAAAAATGTTATAAAATCTTGAATCCATAACTAATTAATTTAACTACTTTTCATGATATTTTGCCAACATTTCAGAATTAAATCTATTACAAATTTTCAATGTTGACAATTAGTGGCAACACTGTCAAATTTCAAGCTGTGACGTCATAGAAATAAATTCTGGGTTTTTATTTGGAGGCATTTCTTTTTTTCCTGTTTTCTCAAGAAAGACTATGAATTTTTCAAAAGTAAAAATACAAAAAAATCTGTTTTCAGTTGCTTTATCCAATGGGCTCTTTCACTAAAATTTAAATACGTAATTTAAGTATAGAATCTCAAAGGAGGGACTATTTTAGGCATATATACCAAAAAAAAAATGTTCTACAAGGTTCAATAAGTTTTTCATAGGCAATCAAAAGTGCCTAAATTCAAACTATTTTAAAACGCGCCGATTTGCCGACGTCACATAAATATTCTTCATTTCGCTTATGTCGTTGCAAGGAGGAAGGGCTCGGCTGTGTTTGCGCTCTGTAAAGATACGTAAAGGTTCGAATGCGCTGTTGTCGGTTGTGACTAAATGTAGTGCAGCGTAAAATAAATAAATAAAACTAAACATAAAAAATTGCATTAAATTGTATTTAAGCATAATTTAAAAAAAAAATGTTATAAAATCTTGAATCTATAACTAATTAATTTAACTACTTTTCATGAGATTTTGCCAACATTTCAGAATTAAATCTATTACAAATTTTCAATGTTGACAATTAGTGGCAACACGGTCAAATTGCGAGCTGCGACGTCATAGAAATAAATTCTGGGTTTTTATTTGGAGGTATTTCTTTGTTTTCTGTTTTCTCAAGAAGGACTTTGAATTTTTCAAAAGTAAAAATACAGAAAATTCTGTTTTTAGTTGCTTTATCCAAATATGCCAATTTCAAAAATTAGTGAAAGAGCCCATTATGCGGATTATGCCAATTTCAAAATTTAGTGAAAGAGCCTATTAACACGTTCGCGACGTCATGTGCCATCGGTGGCACATGACGGCTGATCCCAGCAACCGTCATGTACCACATGTGGTACACCGTGCCCTGCAAATCTAATCCTATTTAAAAACGCGACGGCTGCATAGAAAGCTTGGAAAACAAGTTACGGCTGTACATAAAGGTGGTACATGACCCGTGGTACATGCGGTTCTAAATCGGACATCTTTTACATTGATTTCTATGATTTTTGTCTACCCACTAAAAAAACAGAATTTTGGTAATAGTTTTAATATTTTTTGTTTCTAGGCAACACCCAGTATATAGTTTTACATTACTTAACTGAATTCTAACTGATAAAAACTTGTGATAACATGCCTTTTACATGGTGGCCACCGGTGGTGCACCACGTCCCTGAGAAACAAATATTCGTCACAGCCGTCATGTACCACTGCTGGTACATTTTAAGAAACAACAAAAAATTACAAAAAAATTCAAAACAAGTATATAAAACTTTATTGAACACAAATACAACTGTATTCACATGTTGAACAAAAATAAAATAAAATACGGCTGTGCATTAACATACCCAAAATCGGCTACGTCGCGAACGTGTTAATTAGCAGTGTTTAGTGTGTTGGAGCTTTGGTGTTAAACACTTTTTTTTGAAAATTTATTTTCAAAAATCCTAATTATTTTTAATTTCGTTCTCCTGCTTAATTAAAGGGTCCATCACACTATCCGGAAACAAGAATTTGACATTTTTGAAGCTTTTACATTAAAGTAGACAACTCAAATAATAGTTTTATGAACAAAAAAATGCGGGTTTTTTCATTTTTCTGCAAGAAAATTCAGTTCAAACTGACTAATAAGTTCCATTAACCATTTGTATCTATACATTATAATATAAAAATGGAAAAGTTGAATTAAGAACCACTAAAACTAAACAAAGCAAACTTCCTTAAGGGAACAAAATATATCATTAATCAACTAAATAATCCTATAAAAAAACCATTTAATATTTTTGTCCAATTTGCAATGTTAAGTTATACATTCGTTGAATGGCATTTTTGCCATATATCTGCTTCCACATTCCTATATTGGTCAATATATTGTGGCAAATATTTTGAATGCATAACACCCAGAGCTCTGACATATTTTTTCAAGCCAGACCAATACCCTTCCACCTGGTTGGTACAGACCCCTGTAATGGGATCTTTGAAATATTTGGTATGGTGTTCGGTGGACGTCACCATAGTCTACTAATCCAGAGTAAGCGCGCCAATTGTCTGTCCATATTTCCCTACCGACCCTTACATGTTTTCTTATAATCGGTAAAAGAATCGCAGCGGATCGATTTTTGACATATTGAATATATTCCCTTTTTTCAGTCGCATTATAAATTCTTAATATCCACGACTCTTTCACCAAACGACCTCTGTTATATTTTCTTTTAGAAATTACTGATTCATCAATCTGTACCAAATGATTCTCCCGCCTAAATAGAATAAAAATTATAACAGACGATCCTCTTCTCAACCTTTGACACAGATCAATGAATAATAGAAATTCTTATCAATTTAATATCACTATCGCTCTGTTTTCGATAATGACACATAAATAAAAAAAAGAATCAATAGTAAAGTTATTTTTTTCTGGGTCTCGTAAAGAAAAAGATGAAACTTTTCAACAAAAAAAAAAAACATAAAATCAATAATCTTCGTAAATTAAATGAGAAATATTTTCCTGTATGAATTTCAGTAAATTTATTTATTCATAAGAATATTTATTGTTTTCCGCATCTAATTGAACATTTTAAAGAGGAACTAAACGGTTTTATGAAGAAAGTATATCGAACTTGTAAGTTTTAGTGTTTCCGTATAGTATGATGGAACCTAATTAAATGCTTACTTTGTTTGTTTGATAATTTATCTGTGGCCAGGGCTGTCTGTAACTGCTTAATGCACCAGTACAGTTCGAGTTGAAATTGTTCCTCTTGCTCCTTCGTCATGACGCTCGGTGGTGATTCTACCAATTGACTGATAGAGGTTGGCTGCAGTTGTGAAGGTCCAGGACGAGCTTTGCCAGAATTTTTGTGTAGTTTTACTTTGGGTGGAGGCATTTTCAAGATTCGCTTTCCCTTGTTGAAGAAATGAAAAAGGTAAACAAAAATAACAAAAAAAAGTTAGGTTAAGTTAGATAGATGTGAATCTTGGATGTGAAGTTGACGTTGACAGATATTTTTTTTTTCCAGTAGCGATTTCTTTTTATCAATTAAGTTCCAAGGTGAAAACTTTGTGCACCGAGCAAATTTGGACTCCAATTTTCGATACACAGAAGCTGAATTTGAATTCCTATTTCACCTTAACTAAGAATGGTTACAACACAACGCTGTTTTGAGAATAGAGGTCAAATCTGCTTGGAACAGGGTCTAGGAGATATCTGGAAGTTGTTTGCTGAGTTCCCATCGATAACTTGTGTACAAGAATCGGTTCCGGACCCTCACTGCCGCGTTCTTTTGACATCTGCAAGTGACTCCGAGTGACAAAACGTGCGAAAAAAATCTCATTCCAAAATAATTAATGTTGAATTGATGAATACGACAAATACGAGAATAGAAAATATCAACTAACGGTGTTGTCCAAACTTACTCGCCGTTCCACATTAAGTCGCAATGGTGTCAGCCTTCACCAATATTTTTCAAACCTTCGCCCTTCAGCCTTCAGCCGTGTTTTCGGGCGCGACCCGACCCTAGCTGGGTTCGGCTATTCAGCGCGGAGTTGGAGTGGAGTGAACAGAGCTAATGGAGTCACCCCTAATACGGTAAAAAGCAATACCCGAACCTTAACCCGAACGGCTGGAATGCGAATGGAGTCACTCCGAGTGCACGGAGTGAGCAAGCTGAACCCACCTCTGGGACGTTTTGTTGATCTGGAATTGAGGTTAGAATATTTGTTTTTGTTACCCTTGGTTACTGCTTGAAACTGTGAATGTTAAGTGAATCAATGCAAAATTTTCAAAATAACTAATTAATTATCCAATAATGGAAAAGAATATGGACGAACCCAGGAAACGTAAGAGAAAAGCAGATAATTCTGAGAAGATAAAGTCCAACAAACTTATGCTAGTCGATGAAGCTGAAGCAAAGAGAGTGAAAAAACCACCAGCATCAGAAGTACAGCCGGAAAAAGCAAAAACTATTCAATCGAAGTCAAGCAAACGTTCATTTATAGAAGTAGAAAAAGCCCAAACCAAAATTGTTAAATCGCCAGCTTCCAGAAGAGCTAGAAAAGTCAAAGAGAGTATTTTCTCTAGTGAATCATCGGACAATGAAGAACAACCAAAAAATCACACTAATAAAAATAAAACTGTTAAGAATCCTATACCAATTAGTAGTGATAGTGAATCGACATCAGACAATGAAAAACAGCCACAAAGCTTTAGAAAAAACAAACTGAACAAGAATCCTATTCCCATTAAAAATAGTAGCAATAGTGAATCAAGTTCAAATGATCAAGAAGAAGAGAAAATGTTCAAGGGACTCAAGGATTCAATTTACATACAAAATAGCAGTGATAGTGAATCAACCTCAGACAATGAAGAAGAAACACAGAGATTACGTAAAGAGAAAATCATTAGGGCATTCAAGGAACCAATTCACATTCAAAATAGTAGCGACAGTGAGTCCTCGAGTGAATCAGATTCAGATGGTGAAGACGAGTCACAGAGATTCAGTAAAAAGAAAATGGTTGGGGAATTTAAGGATTCAGTTCACATCCAAAATGGTATTGGTAATAAATCAATATCACACAAAAAAGAACAAGAAATATTGAATGATGAAAATTGTGAAACAAGAAAAGAAAATGGTAAGTAATCTACATAGCAAGCTATTGATTAATTTTCCTAGTGATGTTGATTTACCAATTATTTAGAATCTACTTTAATTATAAAAATTGAATAAGTGTAGGAATATATTTTTAGTACCAAGGTACTTACCTACTATATTTCCTCACATAGATTCTAATAAAAATCAAAAATGAAACCCACCAACTTAACTTCTTTTTTGATAATCCCTATACTTAATTGGATATAAAAACAAAATTAATAAATACGAATAACTACTTATGGCAACGGTCAACATTACGGACAGCAATTTTGTAATTTTTTCCGTGAAGATTTAATAAAACCATAATATTTTATCAGTTGTTTGCCTTTTATAGGTGTGCGTGCACTTAACTATTTGAAGCATGAATAATTATTAAAATACAGTTGTAGGCTTGGTTGTAGGCTAGGAAATTACCACTACCTATAATCAATATTGAAGAGTTTTTGGTTAGTTAGCCAGTTTCTCAGCAGGTACTGAGGTCTCATACGGGAAGCTACTCAGATATAGTTGTTTTTGAGTCAATATCTCTAGATTGATTATTTCAATTTGCTAGGATATTCTCCCGTCAGTGTAGGAAAATGTTAGTAAATTCAACAAGGCCCTCATGCACGCTCTGAATACACAAAATCAAAGGCTCAGCTCAAAAGACGACACATAATTTCTTTTTTTTTTTTTTAATTTACCCTTTATCTGTGTTGTTTACAGCATGAAACGATTTTTGTTAAATACATGAACAATGCACAAGTTATAAAAAATGTTATAAACAAACCAAAAAAACATAAAAATGAAAAACATAATACTTCTATAAATTGAACTCTCAAAAACTAAATAATATTTAATCAACTGACCTGTGAATGCTCCTTGACACACAAACTAATCACAAATTCGATTGAACAATCAGTTTAAGGTAAAGTACCCGATTGTTGACACATTAAAGGTATCTTTGCTTATTTTCACCACGCATTTTCCAAATTTTCAAACTCAAAACTTTGGTATATTTTTTGGCGTGATTTCAAACTCATAATTAAATGTTTAGATATATTATTTACCCTATATTCCTATAATTTGTGTTATTATGCCAAAAATACCTGAAAGGTGATAAAAGTTTTATTTTTTATTTTTTTTTTATTTCGTTTATTTAGCAATAACTAATCGTGCAACTTACATATATAAATTCACAAAAGTTATAATTAGTGTATAGTGTCAATTAAAGTAAACAATTTAAAAAAAAACAACAAACAATTCAGAACTACGAAAAGAAACATTAAAGGAGACAAACCGAAACAACATGAAAGACAAAATGTAATTTAAATTCAAAATACAAATGACAATCATTCTGAAAGACATAATAAAACTTGAAATTTTGTAAAAAAAGTCCATGAAACTCATACAGAATATGGCATTCGTTTTTCACTTCACAAAATACAAGATCAAGAGACCGCAAAACAAAAGAAATTCAAATCAACAAAACTCAGATCAACAAGAATAAGCTACTTATTTGTGCTTTAATCTGGAACATATATATCACATTGAGTCAGCAGATGAACTTTTAATTTTCTTTTGAAATTGCTAATAGTAACACATGACTTTATTTCATCCGGTAGCTGATTAAACTCATTCATACCCTTAAAGAATAACGATCTTGTTGCTGATGAGTGATGCCCCACATCTATGTGGTATATAGAAGTTGTTCTGTTGTCTAGTGTTGTGATCATGCATCTGGCCACTGTAAACTATTTTTCTTCTGAGATACAATGGAGCAAGTCCAATTTTAATTTTAAAAATAAACACCAGTACATTATATTTTGCATATTTCACAACTGGAAGCCACTGAAGCAATCTAAGCATACTTTTTATAGGAGTATATTTGTTACATGAGAGTATGATTCTCATACATCTATTTTGCAACTTTTGCAGTCTTTGGATATCATTCTGGTTAAGTAAATAAAGTATTGTTGCGCAATAATTGAAGTGTGGCAAAACTATAGTGTTAAAAACAACAATTCTAGACCAAGTTAAGAGAGATGCTGAACAGCGCCTAAGATAATTTGTCTTAAACCTAATTTTAGAAACCAGAATGTTGCAGTGATCTTTAAATTTTAATTTGTTATCAAGAATTACCCCGAGATACTTAATCTTTTGAACTTCTTCCAACTTATTGTTACCCATTTTAATTGAATAGTTGTTCATATTAAAAAGACTTCTGTTATTATGTGTACCAATAAACATAAATTTAGTTTTACTAACATTAATCTTCAAAAGATTCGTTGATGCATAATTGTCCATTTTATTTAGGGCATTATTAACAGTTTCCACCAACAAATCCAAATCTTTTGAAAAGGCGTAGAATAGACTATCATCGGCGAAGTTATGCAATTCAATGTCATGTATTACATCTGGCAGATCGTTTATATAAATAATGAACAATAGTGGACCCAAAACACTTCCCTGCGGTACACCATGCTCGTTAACTATCTCTATTGAACTAATTCCATTCAGTCTAGTTAATTGTCTTCTTGATGTTAGATAGTCTCCAAACCATCACAACACCACATCCCCAATTCCAATTTTTTCTAGTTTCTTAAGTAATCTGTGCCGATCGACCGTCTCAAAGGCTCTCTGTAAGTTCAGAAAAACCGCTAGTACATTGAAACCTTGGTCATATTTTATTTTAAATTCATCCAGAATGTACTGTATTGCAGTTTCACAGCTGTGACCATTTCTGAAGCCTGACTGCTTCTCTGTTATAGTATTATGTGTGTTTAAAAATTCGAGAAGCTGATCATATACAACTTTTTCAATTATTTTCTCGATGACAGGAAGTGTATTAATGGGTCGAAAACTAGATGCTTCTATTGAGTTAAGTTTTTTTTGAACTGGTATTATTGTAGCGAGCTTTAGAGGATCTGGAAACTTTCCTTGTTCCAGTGAACTATTTATTAAATTAATCAGGGGTGCTTCAAGAGACGGATATATATTCCTTATTAATGTTACATTCAAGTAATCGGGACTATTTTCGTTTTTCAATGACATAACAATTTTAAACAGGGAATCAGAATCTATTAATCTGAACGAGCTAAAGATAGATAGATAGATAATGTGCTTTATTGTCATAAAAACGATACAAATTGTTTTGTGGACAAAGCTAGTACCTACATATAAAAATCACTTATAAAAGAATATCCTCGTAAGATCATTGTAATAGCAGTCTAAAAACTAGATTTCCATAACAATCAAAACAAAAAAAATCACAAGCATTAAAACTAAAATCAGTAATCACAAAATATAAAACCCAATTATAAAATTGGAGACATACACTTCATTGAATATGAACATACAAAATAAGAATATAACATTTAAAATGCTGAAGTCAAACAATGAATCAGGTTTAATTTGTTCAATTATGGAATCTATGCTGTCTACATAAAATCTGTTTAGTCTTTCGGGCAGACTGTTTTTATCCATTATTATTACTCCTTCCATCTCTATTTTATCAATGTTTGCATGATTTTTCTTTGGTAAAATCTCTCCCAATACATTCCACATTGCCCTAGGATCCCGTTTACATCCATCCACTTTTTGCTCATAGTGCTTTATTTTCTCTTCTTTGATAGTTAACTACTTGATTTTGCTTATCTCTATACGATCTATGTGCATCTTCACTCTTAAGCAATTTGTAAATCTTATAACTTTCATCCCTTAGTTCTGCTGCTTTTTTGACATTTTCATTCCACCATGGCTTATATCGTGGTAAAATTTTAACCTGCTTTAATGGTGCTATAGTATTCAAGGCCCGATAAACTGTTAACACAAAGAACTTACACTTGTCATCTATATTATTTATATTTAAGTACCAATTTTAGGTTCTCCCTAATTAAATCATAATTTATATTTTTCCCTTTACTCGAAATAAAATGTGGAATCTTATTTTGTGATTGCAATATTGCAGCATTGACACATATATAATAATGATCACTCACTCTGGGGGCATGTTTTACTTTAGGAATCAGATCCAGATAATTTGTAAACAACAAATCAATACATGTACCACCGTCTCTATTTGGCCTTGTTATTTCCTTAATTTGTTGTTGGAATGCTATATCATGTGAGATATTAGTAAGACGTATATGTATTATCTGGCTTCAACATGTCAATATTAAAATCTCCCAGTATTACAGTTGGTATGTTATTATCACATACAGAATCATGACTCCATTCTTCAAAAAAAATTTAAAAATCCTTCTCACTACAGCTCGGGGATCGATATAGACAAACTACATACAAGTTTTTGTTACTAACTTCTATCTTAACTCCTAATACCCAATACTTCTTTTCAAACTTAACTCTGCTTATTGATAATATTTTAATAAAGTTCTTTAAATAAATTTGTACACCACCTGTCGATCGGCTTGAACTGTCTAGTCTAACCAATCTATATCCATCTATACTGACTTCATCATCTTCAATTTCTTCAGTCAAATGTGTTTCAGATAGAAAAATAATTTTAGGATCCAAGTCCAGAACTAGGGCATGGATCTGATCAAAATTAGCAATTGTACTACTTGAATTAAGATACAGAAGATCACATTCTGTATCCTTACTCTTAATATTCTTACCCTTACTCCGCGACAGCCTTTCATTGCTGCATCGTTTATTAAACCTATCTATAAAAAAGCCCGCTCAGACTGCTGATCGGCCTCACAAGTAGTCAAATTTATAGTTACTTCAAGTTCTTTATTATTAAACTCTATAAATTTCAAATTTGTATTCCTATGAAGACCAAAATTATCTATTCCTTCTTTAATTCTACTTGAAAATCTATCAAGACCATATCTACTCAGATATATTCCCTGCTCAGTGAAATCGCCAACGAGATAATCACTGGAGTGATCTACTAATATGTCTATATTGGCAGAATATGGTTTCAATCGTTCCGCTACGTACTGGATTTTTTTGTTTATATGAGACAAAATATTTACT